ATGTTTAATTCTATTTACCCCAGCTTCTAGATTTTCTTGGCTATCTTGATCCTTTCACTTTCAAAATCTATTTATCAGTTTTTATACATGAATCTGCTGAGGTTTGATTGGCTTGACATTCATATATATATATGAAAACTTACCTTCACAGTATTAAGTCTTAATCCTTATGATGTCCTCTCAATTAAAAAAAAAAAAGCTTTTAAAGAACATTGTCATAGGTTTTCTTCCCCCCCCCACTGCCCATATTGCACTGTAGCTTGAAACCAGAGTTTCCCCTCACAAATGCCAGGTGAGAACTTAAGCATTGAACTATACAGCCTCAGTCACCTTCTGCAGCTCCCCTGTAGTGGCCTTGATGTTCCCCAAACCCACCGACTTGAACATACTATTTATCTTAAGCACTTTATAATAACTACAAAGAATTGCCTTTTAATATCATGTTCTGGTTTTTTTGTTGCCCAAGTGGATATAATTGTTTTCATCCTGTTGAAACCATGCTAAATGTTATAATTCAATTTTAATAGTTTAGTTGCACAGTCTTTTGGATTTTTAAGATACTCAAACACATCATTTGTGAATAGTCCCTTTATCCTCTTCCTCTCAAATCTTGATGCTTTTAAATTTCTTTAGTCTATCTGATTACACTAAATATGAGATCCTGTACAAGTCTGAATAGAGGTGATTACAGCCTACATCTGGTTTTATATCCAGTCTCCTAGGGAAAGTTTTTCTCTCTTTCCCTCCCTCATTCCTCTTCTTCTCCTGCCCCTCCCACCCTCCCTCCATCCTCCATACAGTGTCCCTCTTTTGTCCTGACTGGCTAGCCTGGAACTTGCTGTATAAAACAAGGCTGGCCTTAAACATGGTAATCCTACTGCCTCTGCCTCTTGATGGGATCCTAGGTGTGTTCCATCACACCTGCATGGCTGGGGGAAAGTTTTGTGCGCTTTTAGATATAAGTCTGTATAGTAGATTATGCTAGTTGGTTTCTATTAGTTTGTTTTCTCTTTGCCTATTTGGTGAGATAATAGAAACAGTATTACACACACACACACACACACACACACACACACACACACACACACACACACTTGTGTGGGCATCCACCCACATTTATAAATGTTTTGGAGCCACCTCTCGAATAAAGGACTTGTGCTCAAATTCTTAGTTTAGGTTATATATCTAGGGACACTCAGTGCTATAGGCCATAAATAAAATGTTTACATGAAAGGGGTAGGATATGGGAGACAACTTTCAGTCTGGCAAAGATGTGGCAGTCCTTGTCAGCAGAGACTTATGTCAGTGACGTAGCATGCCAGGTTACACTGCAACACTGTTGTCAACGCAGACAGTGCATTTGTTACCCACACAGATGGAGATGTGGTTGTATAGTCAGAATTGAGCTACAAGCTTTGCATGGTTTATCAGTTAATTGTTATACCTATTACAGTAATGATGGAATGAAAGTGAAGGAAAAATGCTTCAAGACTTTCTTTGTTGTGTAGGCTTACAGGGTGTAGGCTACAACATACTGTCCTGGCTAGCTAGTCTTGCACTGGGGGCAATCCTACAGCCCCTACCTCCTAAGTACTAGGATTACAGTTGTGCACTACCAGGCTATATTAATTTTTACAAAGACCAGATTCTGAAGGTTTGGATGAGAATTTGGGGGGAGGGTGAAGTGACTGCCTTCTACTCAGTAAGGAACCAAGTGGTTTATAAAACAACAGAGGAATGCAATGTCTAGATATTTTGGAAACTCCCCTTTAACAAGGTGACAAAGGTAGGGAGATCCTTTAGGAAACTACTGCAGTGATCCCATTGCTATAGCAGGAGCTATAGCAATGGCAAAGTGTGTGTGTGTGTTTGTGTGTGTGTGTGTGTGTGTGTCAGAGAGAGAGAGAGAGAGAGGAGAGGGAGAGGGAGAGGGAGAGGGAGAGGGAGAGGGAGAGGGAGAGGGAGAGGGAGAGGGAGAGGGAGAGGGAGAGGGAGAGGGAGAGAGAGAGAGAGAGAGAGAGAGAGAGAGAGAGAGAGAGAGAGAGAGAGAGAGGTGTCTGGGCAAAGGCAGTAACAAATGGCAGTGACTGAATAGTTGTGGGCACTGAAGAGGAGAAAAGAATTTCTTGTAGAATGATGGTTTCAATACTTTTGCTGGAGTTGCTGCGCTTGTAACAGGGGTCCCCCTGGTGGCAAAAGAAAACCAAGGTAGGGATCCCTCTCACACAGGGCACTGGCTATTCTGGGATACATATGTATAACCATAGTTACAACATCGCAAAAGAGGGATGCCCCTCTCCTCTGGGGTAGCAAAGAATAGGCAAGAGCTAATTGTTGGTAATGGATCAGGAAATGGGGCTGACCACAACCTTGATCTGTTCAAAGGAGGTAGATACTGGCCAACTTCTTTCTCCATGCAGCTTGAAAAGCAGGAGTCTGTAGCACTAAACCCACAAACACTGGGGAGCTCTCCTGGGGATTGTTGATCTTGTTTCCCGCTTTGCCACAATTGTGCCAGTGCCAGTGTTTCCCCTTGTCCATAGCACAGAATAGCACCTAAGTGGTTATGGGGGTTCAGGTGAGGGTGTGTGCCAAGGCTTCCTCTTCCTTACCAGTTGGAGGATTCCTCCAGGTGCCCAGGAGATGGCCTTGTAGGCTAATCCATAGATATCTAATTTAAAAATAAGGGGACCTGCCAGAGCAACCTCAGAGACTTAGAGAGCGTTTAGACCACCCTTATTTTCCCGAGGCCAAGGACTGCAACTGAACAGGGAAGGCGGCTTCCAGAGAGCACTTTTTCCCCCTTCTAGGTGTTGAGCAGGCCTTGAATTTTCCAAAACAGGTGTGCTACACAGGTCTGAGTCATCGACCAAGATGAGATATTTCAGAAACTTTCTATTTTAAGCTTTTGGCATGTTCCTAAGTATAAATACCTCTCTTGCTATATAAATGTGCAGATTGTAACCTATTGCTGAGCACTGTAACTGATCTGAGAAGTAGCCAGAGTGTAATCGCATCTGGCGATTATCTTTCTCTAGTCCCTTTGGAACTGGAAAGGTTTGCAGTGTTAAAGCTCTTATGAGTTACTTTTTAAAATCAGTGTAGCCTGGTTTTTCCTCTCCAGGAGCTCTATGTGCACTTGCATTCGTTGGTCTTATCCATCTGTAAGCTTCTGTAAGCTCCCTAATGAAAACAACTGCACTTTCAAGGCTTAATTGCGCATTATTGAGTGGTCTATCTCTCATTCTGTAACTGTCCAATGATGAGAAATGTTCTGTTCATTAGAATCACCAGCATGTGAGGCAGAGCTGATGCTTTATTGACGTATGCGGAAAATATCATCTGAAAGGTCATAAAATAACTATTGGAGAAGAAAAGCCTACCCTACTCCACTCCACATAGACAATATTGTATTGAATAGTGAGCATTTGACAAAACTAATCAATTACACACTTCATAAAGAAAACAGTCAGCAATTCCCTTCCTGTGTACTTGTGAGACTATCTTCTCATTAGCTCTTTAGGTTTTAAATTGCTTTGTAAGATGCAACATCTGACATTTTGTGCTTTTTCTGAAGATGCAGCAGACATCTGTTGGATCCTAGGGAGGTGTTGACGTGTGGAATAAACAATATAATCAAGTCTTCTCTGAGTGAGGTTGCTTTGGTACCCACCTCAAGAGGTAGAAACCAGAGCTCTGGCTTTCATGATGTGAAAAACCACATTCATAGTTGTTGCCCACCCCAGTACCATCCCTTGGGCTCTTTCCTTCAGTTCCCTGTAATTTTGTGGCACACTGGTTGGCCTTTGTCACAGGATAGCTATGCTCCTGGATAAAACACTAGGTACATTTTTCTGATAGCCCCAATAAGTCTGGATTGTGCAGAGAGCACAAAACTGTAAGTAGAAGGCATCTGCTCCCTGGCTGTGAATTTCTTAAAAAATAATACTTTAAAATATTTAAAAGTAATTATAATTTAATATTTTTTTAGGTTTCACAAATATGTTTGCCTTCAATATATCAGGGAAGACTTTTGGTGAAGTCACAAATGGGCAGCTTTTCATTCAAGTGTTACAATTATATCTACATGAATATGTATATATATGTATGCATGTGTGTGTGTATATGTGTACGAATACAATTGTTTCAACCAGACAGTTGCCACACAAGAGCCAGGGGTATGCAGTAAATAAAAAGATATATTTATTAATTTATACGTGTTGTGAGTTAAAGTTTTTAAGAATTATGCATAAATTATTTGTTTATATGATGTGTGGCCAGTTTTTTTCCCAAATTGGTTGAGCAGAGCTTAGTCTTCTTCCCTGTAGTAATCTGGAGTCTTTATCAGTTGTAACTGATTGGGAAATGCTACATTTTTCCCTGTCATGGTGGCCTTCACATGCATGAGCTGAGTATGTGTGCATATGAATAAGTGACATTCAGAATCAAAATGTGGTCTTAACCAGCTTTTGGAGCTAGTCAATCTGAAATCATGACTACTGTAGACTGTTATTTTAAAATGTGTTGCATTTGTTTACACTGTGGAACATTTGTTTAATGATGCAAAGATGTGTTGCATTCTTATACATTGCATTTGTTTAACTCTGTGAGGCTGTGTTACTTTGCCTGTCTGAAAAACCTGATGGTCTAGGAAAGAGCTGAATGACCAACCAATAGAAAGACAGAAGAAAGAATGCATGGGGAAATAAATAGGGGAGAAATCTGGGAGGAGAGAATGAAGAGTGAGAAAAGGACGTCAGGCGCCAGCCACCCAGATATACAACAAGCCATGGAGTAAGAAGTAAAGAAAAGTATATACAACAAGCCAAGCTAAGGCCAGGCATTCAAAAGAAAGAATAAGCCTCCATGTGTGTATTTATTTGGGAGCTGGATGGTGGGCCCTCCAAAAATAAAAATAAATAAATAAAACAACAAACAAACAAATATAAAAAAACAACCCCACATGATAATCTGGGAATGAGCACAGAACCGACTCTCACCTTCCGGTATCCCCAGAGCTGGTTCCCTTTCATGCCATGACACTCATAGAGCGTGACAGGGCTGCTGTGTGAGATGGCATCGAAGCAGAATTTTCGGGTGTGCAGAGGCTCGCCGGGTCGAATATCTTCTCTCCACCCAAAAGTAAAGAGCTAGCAAAAAACAGTAGCAGAAAAGCTGCAGTGAGTTCAGTGTGGGGCAAAAGGTTCCAGAGGGTGTGGAGAGATGTCCTAAAAATGCAGAGCTCCTGTTTTGTGAATACAAGGAAGAAGTCCATCTCAGCACAATGGAGGCATTGAGAGGGCATGCTTCCAAGGGCTGGGACAGCTGTACCTGTGGCCAAATGCAAAGGTAAGGGAGGGAGGAAGGAGAAAGGGGCGGTACGGAAGGGAGGGGGAGAGAAAAGTGTTTTGGAGGTGGAGGAAGAGGAGAGGGAAAGATGGAAGATGAGAGAGGGAGAAGGGAGATGGGTGGAAGGAAGGAGGGAAGAAGAAAAGCCTTTAATAAAACTCTTAGCACTTGTCATGTAGATAAAATATTCCTGGATTGAGGACTGCAGCGTTAGCCTAATGAGCAGATTAACTGCCAAAGGACAAGCCTTAAAGTTGAGCCGGATTGATGCTCGCACCTTGAAAAATCCAATTTAAAGGAAAGCCGAACTCAATGAAGTAAAGAATAGGCAAATTAATTTTCCAGCGTAGCTAAGAGCAACTCTGTGGGGGCAATATAGAGACAGTTTTAGATTGTAACTCACAGTAAGAAATACAGTCTGCAGTTACAGATCCCTGACCTCCAACCTAAAGCAGGAGTGTCAAGGAATGATAGATAATCAACTCCATTTAATACTTCAGTATGCCAACCATTGTTGCTATCCTTGTCTGTGTTATCCATCTTACTCTGTATTATAAATGCTTCTTACGATGCCCTAAATCAACTTTACAATGTGTTCCATTAGCAAACAGCATTCCTGTTGAGAAAGAGCATTTTCTTTTTTTAAATTTATTTTTCATTTTACAAACCAACCCCAGTTCCCCCTCACTCCCCTTATTCCACCCTCACCTTCCCCCCTCCCATCCCCATCTACTCCTCAGAGGGGGTAAGGCCTTCCTTGGGGAGTCAACAAAGTCTGGCATACCAAGTTGAGGCAGGACCAGGCCCCTCGGCTCGGTACCAAGGCTGAGCAAGGTATCCCATGATAGGGAGTGGGGTCCAAAAACCCAGTTCACACACCTGGGATAGGTCCTGGTGCCACTGCTGACCCCCTCCTCTACCCCAACAGATCAAGCCACATAGCTGTTGCCTACATTCAGGGGGTCTAGTTCAGTCCCATGCAGGTTCCCCAGCTGTCAGTCCATAGTCTGTGAGCTCCCACTACATCTGGTCAGCTGTCTCTGTGGTTTTCCTCATCATGATCTTGACCAACCCCCTTGTTCATATGATCCCTCCTCCCTCTCTCCAACTGAACTCTAGGAGCTCAGCCCAGTGCTTGGCTGTGGGTCACTGCATCTGCTTCAGTCACTTACTGGATATAGGTTCTATGATGACAATTAAGGTAGTTGCTAATCTGATTAAAAGGGAAGGTCTATTCAGCTGCCCTAGGAGTCTTAGCTGGGGTCATCCTTGTGGATTCCTGAGAATTTCCTAGCCTCAGGTTTCTTCCTAACCCCACAATGGCTCTCTATCAAAATATCTCTTCCATTGCTCTCCGTCCCTCCCCCAACTCTGTCTTCTTGATTCCTCATGTTCCCATCTCCTTCCTTCTAATCTCCTCCCAATTTACCCAGGAGATCTTAACTATTTTCTCTTCCTGGGGCCTTTCATATGTGTCCCTTTTGGGGTCCTCCTTTTTACCTAGTTTCTCTGGGGCTGTGGATTGTAGCCTGGTTATCCTTTGCTTTACATCTATTACTCACTCATGAGTGAATATCTACCATGTTTGGAAAGGGCATTTTCTTAAATTACTTGTGCTGATTTCTTCCAGTTCTGGTTCAGTAGGTTATATAATTCTTAGAGGAGGACTTTAGGAGGCAGACAGCTGTGTGAAGCAGAGCTGTCAGGGACACTGTCTCACTGACAGAGAGCAGAGTGCAGAGCTGTAAGCAGCCAATACACTAACTACTGACCTGGTCCTTCACACACTTGGGTTTTCAGGTCCCACCTAGAGCATCTGGGGCAACTCTAGAGACGGCTAAGAGAAAAGAGTTAAGTTGTAGGAGTCTGAAAACAATTGAAAGGACTAGGTCAAGTGGTCTAATTTAGGAAAAGAAATTATTTAAATCTAGCACATGAAAGAAGACTGAAAAAGATGAGTGCTCTAGTCCCCTGAAAGGCAGGACAAGGGGACAATAGACAGTCTCAGACAGGACAAGGGATGTCAAGTTAAGCCTTTGTGACAGAGTCATGAACAGGAGTTGTGCTATCTCTCTCTCTCTCTCTCTCTCTCTCTCTCTCTCTCTCTCTCTCTCTCTCTCTCTCTCTCGTATTCTTAGGTCCTTCACACAGGAGAAGTATCTGTTTGGGCTGCTCCCAATTTTAAGCTCTTTGCAAACCTGCTCCTTCCATGGCCTTTGAAGCACTGTGCTGTTCTGTAGTAACCACGCTGCCAGCCCCCGCTCATCTGTCTACTCACATGATGTCAGCAACTGTGTTTCTTGTCCTTTCCTGCTTGGGCTTAAATTCTCTCAGATTAGCTTTCACCAAAATGCTCAAAACCCATCAGTCACATTTCATCCAGCCCTGGCAGGATTTTCCCACTCTGTGTCTCCTAGATGGGTAGCCTGATCTCGTTCAATTTGTTTTATTTGGTGATCATCACATTCATCTGGCCAGCCATGAAGTCTTTGAAATTTTGCCCCCTTTACTTTCCTCATTTAATTATTTGTCAAGTCTTACCATCGTCTCTAGTCTTTGGCAGTACCGAGGACAGAGCCTTACACAGAATATGCAACTACTGTACCATTAAGACACATCTTGACACTTGTGTTTCATAAGAAGTTTTGGAATTAGTTTCATCCTCTGAGTCTTTACAGACATTGCTTTCTGCATCACTTGTCTACACTACTGCAATAGCCTGTTTCTGTTTCCACATTCTTCTCTCTCTCTCTTTCTCTGTGGGGTGTGTGTGTGTGTGTGTGTGTGTGTGTGTGTGTGTGTGTGTGTTCAGAGGTCAGCGGACAACTTTAGGTATTGTTATTTAGTCACTGTATACTTTTGTTTTAAAGACGAGGTGTCTCATTGCCACGTAGGCTAGACTGGCGGCCAGGTCAGTGAGCTCTAGGGTTCCCCATGAGTGGTTCATTTCCTCAGTGCTGGGATTAAAAGTGTGTATGCCACCAAACCTGGCTTTTAAAATAGATTCTGGGGCCGGGCATTGATGGTGCATGCCTTTAATCCCAGCACTTGGGAGGCAGAGGGAGATCCATCTCTGAATTTGAGGCCATCCTGGTGTACAGGGTGAGTTCCAGGACAAGCTCTAAAGCAATACAGAGAAACTATGTCTCAAACAAACAAACAAACAAACAAACAAAAACCGAAAAACAACAAAAACAAACAAACAAACAAAAAACCCAAAACAAAACAAAACAAAAAAAAAAAAAAAACGGATTCTGGGTCTTAAACTCAGGTCCTTGTGCTTACAAGGACAGCCCAGTCTACAAGCTGTGTCTCTCGCCCCTGCCAACCTTCTTGTTGTTGCCCACACTCTTTCCCATCATGGTCAACAGAGAAGTCTGTCTGGGATGCCTGTCTAATTAGATCTTCTGTCTGTCTACAATCCTCCAATGGTCTTCTTCCTCCTTGGTGTATACGTCTAGCGTCTAAGAGCCTTCATTTCTGAACTGCTTCATCTTCCTCCCCTCTTTTCTTATTCTGTCATGACTGTCCCCTGTGTCTCCATGTCCTTTGCTAGGTAGTCATCCTTGATGACAGGTGATGTCCTTTTAAAACTCACCTTTTGAGCACCCAGAAAAAAACAAAAAGCATAGGTGCTTAATAAGAATTATGGTTAACATGTGTAGCTTGTACTAGTTATTTCAACAGAAATGTGAAATAATTGACAAGATAAATGAATTAGTTTTAGTCTTTTTCTTTTTCTTCTTTAAAGTGGATCCTACTGGCTTTCAACTCACTACATAGCGCCGCAGGCTGGCCTTAAAGGCCACATTCTCCTGCCTCAGCCTCCTGACTACTGAGATCATAGGCATGTCCCATTCTGGATCAAGAAGTCTTGGTTGATTTCTCTCTCCCCCCCACCCCCCCTCTCTGTGTGTATGTTTGGAAAGATTTATTTTGGCTCATGTTAGAAGAAACACTCAATTATTGTAGAGAAGACACAAGGGCTGGAGCATCTGTCAAGTTGCTGCTCGAATTGCATGTGCAGTCAGAGAGATTTTAACCAAGGAGGGATGATCCACCATGGTTGTGATGGTACCATTCTATGGACTGGGGTCCTAGACTAAATAAAAAGGAAAAAAGAAAGAAACTAGCCAAGCATCAACGCTCATCTCTTTCTGATTCCTGACTTCCGATGCATTGCATCTAAGTGCCTCACACTCCCACCAGCACAGCTAGCCCTCCTCCTCCCAAACCCTGTACTTGTCACTCAGTTTCCCTCTCAGTCAAACCTCTCAGGAAAAGCCACACAGCACCAGCCATTGTCTGAGGTGATTCCAAATGCAGTCAGGGTGACAATGACATGTCAACTAGATTTTTTTAAAAAAAATTTCATTTACTTGTTTAACTTTAGTGAGGGAAGGGTTCATTGGGCTCATAGGTTACAGTTTATCACGTAGGGGAGGGTATGGGAGGGGAGAGCTGAAGCCTGAAGTGGGGGGGGGGAGGGGGCTGTGGAGGAACATTGCTTACCACCATGCTTCTATTCAGCTACTTCCCATCCCCCCCCCCCCCATTCTTGTTCTCTCTCTTTTTCCATGTCTTCCTCTTCTTCATTCTTGGAGAGTTCCATATTCACCCCTCCCTCAACTCTTCCTTCATCTACCCCTCCCAATTCTTGCATCAGAGAGTGAGGGTGATCAGTTTGCCAGGGGCTCTGCTCTTAGACAAAGCTGTCTGTCTCCATGGCAGGGGTGGGAGCATTTACCCAGGTTCTCTGTGTGTCTTAGTTTTCATAAACCAGAAGTCTAGAGATGAAAGGAATTGTAAGCCCCACCTAGCCAAGACCTTCACTAGTCTGATGTGCTGTCAGCCTCAAGTGTTCTGCCTCTCTTATTCCATTTTCTCCTACTTTTCAATAACTGGGTCTGTTCAGGCCCCAAGAATACCCGAGTGACAGCAAATCTGTCTCATAGATGTCATCTACTGTCACAACTGTACCTGGGCACACTTAGGCGACTTTTGTTTCCTGTTTCTAGGCTTGCTATTACAGGCTAATGATCTTTTTTGCATTTGTAGATTGATTGCTAGAAGGGAATGTTTACAAGGTCCTCTATATTATTCTTGTTATTATTACCTGCTGACTGCAATCTTGGGTCCCAGTGATAAATCTTCAAATTATGCCAATTGTTTTATTTTTTTTTCTGCGCCTTCCAATATCTATTTTCCCCTCTCTTATGTCTTTGAAATGCTTCCGGTTGCCATTTATATTCCCCAAGGGTCATGTCAGACGAATCATTCATCAGGCACATTTTCACCAGAGCAGAAACAAGCAAGCATTGTGAAGGGATGGCACTGTTTAGGGACCTATTGTGACATTCATAATCTGCCTCCTACTCCTGAGTGGTTCTTACTAGCTAGAATTTCTTAATAAGAGCCCCTGATGCTTTTTGTTTTCTTTTCAAGCTCCAGTCACTCTTTTAAAAGCAAATGGATGTCAATTTCTCTCCTTTCCTCTTTTAAGTGATACTTTAAAATATGGATTTTGAGTCATGGCCCATTTCCTTGCTTGCATATTCGTGTGGTGTGTGTAACATTGCCTAGGTCTGTATTGTATTATATTATACAAATAAATTCTCCAGATTGGAGCCGCAAATCCACTTATCTTAATCTGGCAACCTGATGAGACAATTGAAAAACATTTTATTTCTCTCTCTGTGGGTAGTTGTATTTTGTTTCACTGTTATGTAGTTTGCAGAAGTCTGAGTTATAACACATTTCTCCCAACAATTTGTACTCATCAGAATGCTGTATTGAGACGGTTTATCCCCAAAGAAAGGCGTGTGTCCTTTCTCTGCGTTCATGGACTTGTTTGGATTTCTGTTTGTGTGTGTCCCTCTCCAGGTCTTGGAAAGAGAAAGTTATGTCTGTCTACTCAGCAGGACAGGAAGGCTTGCAAAGCTTCTTCCCAGCAAGAGACCAGTGCCTGCTGCTCGGTCTGCAGAGACAACAGCCAAACTAGGCCAGGCAGAGCACGCCTCCTCTTTTCTGCCTCCCCTCCCCCCCAATAACGGGGACTGGGGAGCTGCCTTCCAGATCTAACACTCATATTTGTATCTATTTTTATTTTTCTTTCTTGATCCCTAGAGGAAACAAGGGGCCAGCACACAATGCTAGAGTGATATCAAACAGCTCAGCAGATGACCCCGGAAGAATGAATCATACGCCTGCTTTTCCTCACAGAAGCGGGATTAGCCCTGACTAACGTTCTGCATAAAATGTTTCCCTTACAAAGGCCTGCGTCAGTGGACCCTTCTTTGTTGCTTTTGTAGCAAGTTTGTTTATCCATTTAGTCAGTTGGGCTGCCTTGGAATTAAAAGGAATATTCATAATTTCGCTGGCCAGAGGTACTTCTCTCTCGTCCAGGAATTTTAATCTAAATGTAAAAGAGTGGATTATGATGTACGATGTACGAGTCTTTAAGCAAAATATCAAATGAGGCTCACATTAGTTACTGTAAAATGAATTAGCTTGTACCGAGTCAGTGTATGGTGACACACGTTTCAAGCAGGATTCAAGTTTCTTCTCCCTCCAACCTTTAGTCTCCTCGTAGCTCCAGCCTTAGCTGTCCAGAGACCAGAAATATTTTTAAAAGAGCTATAGTGACTATAGGGAGATGCGTTGTCTTCTTGTCTGGTGCTGCCCTCTGGTGACCATTTTGTAAATTACAGGCCATAGTTTTTTGTTTTGTTTTGTTTTGTGGCTTAGCCTAAGGTAAATGAACAAGTCTTCTGTTTGTATTCATCTTTATCTGCCAAATAAAAAAATCAGGTCATATCATACTCCATTATAGAATTTTCCTGTTTAGAATTATTCAATCTGGTTCAGGTATTCAGATGTGTGTTTCTGTAAGCTATCAATTTGTTTCCTAATCTAATTGGGCTGAAAAGAGGAGATAAATTTAGCCTAAGAGACAACAATTTTCCCTTATAGCTTCTCTCTTTAATTTTAGAAACGATTTTTCCTAAATGCTCCAAATGCTGGTCTTACTGATAGCCTTTTGAGTGGTTTTGTGTTTTTTTTTTTTTTTTTTTTGCTTGCTCTCCCAGGCTGGGTTGCTTGTTGGAAGTGCCCACCAATCAGAGGAATATGCTTATCCCAAGACACAGAGGAGGAAGAAGCCAGTGAGTTCCTATCTGATACTTTGTAGTTATCACCACATCCTGGAGCTGCAGAAACTTCTGGTGATTGTCCATCCTTCAGGATATGTTGGAGTGAATAACTATGTTGGGAATGGGCTAATGCATCTGTGTGTCACAGAAACCTTGAACCTGAAAGCATGGCATATGTGTGTGTGTGTGTGTGTGTGTGAGAGAGAGAGAGAGAGAGAGAGAGAGAGAGAAGAGAAGGGAAAGTACAATGACTGAGTTGACATCACGCGTGGAAGTTAATGATACAGCCCAGGCATCATTTCTTCTCAGAAAGAAAGCCCTGGATAGGAGGTGGGGATTGTTGCCCTTATTTGATGATGGAGAGCCTCTGGCCTAGAAAAACTGAACAAGGCTGCTTGGTTCAAAGTGAAATCCATGTTGGCTGACGTCTAAAGCCTTCCCTCTTTCTAGAACACGATTGGATAGGTAGCTAGTTAGAGAGTGTTGGGAGAAGTTGGTGTTACCTTGTGGGATTCATCCTGATGCTCCTATTAATTCAGGATGGAGGAGGGGCAGGAAGAGAGTGGGGAGAAGAGAATCACACTTCAACAACTCCTTAAGGACCTTAGGCTGGGTAGAAGCGTTGCTCAGTGGTTCATGTTTGTCAAGACTCTTTTGTGTGGGTTTTGTGCGTAAGCTAAAGCATCTCTAAAGCACAGGCACACGGCAACCGGTCAGTGTGCAAGGCAGCCATTGAGGAATACAGCTGTAGTACAGCAGCTACGCCACCAGGGAAAGTGCTTGCTTACTTGCTTTTGTTTTCCCAAGACAGTCAATATGGTCCATTCCGAGAAACAGAGGTGCACACTGTCTTGACTGTGGGTTTTCCTTTCTGCATGAGGGTTGGGGGCGTGGGAGGGGGAAGGATGGGAAAGGCCTCTGATGTACTTATCAGCTGTTTTTCTTTGCAACTTCGACAATAGCTATTGATTCTTGTGGAATCTGTGGGCTACATCCTGTGCATCCTAATTGAAATATTTCATTATTCAAAGCTGAAACACCAGAGAGGCGAGCCGTCCTCAGCGCTGTCACTGCTCTTTCACAGGGAGCACAATTCCAGGAGACGCCCTTTCCAATTCTTTCAGGCTTTTAGTTGGATTAGAAGTCACATTATCCTTAACTGGAGCGGCACGGAAATGTCTTTGAATCAAAGCCAAATGTCGTCTGAAAATGTCCTATGAAGTCTGTGCTGGGGCACTGCTGCTTTGGCTGGCCTTTACACATGTAACTAAAAACTACCATTGCAACAAGAGGTCCATGCATTACTTTAGATACATAACCAGGAGGGAAAATTAAGGTCAGAGGAAGTCTCAAACACAAAACAAAGCCCTTTCTGAAAAGACTTTGTGGGTCAAATTCCCTGGCACTTTCCAGGTTTGTCTTGAAAATTGCTGCTATGGGGGGAGACAGTAAGCTAAGGTCACACTGTAGGAGTCTGCTATCTTGTCTTTAATATTAGTTTTCAGGGTCCGTATGAAAGGGGCTGGAAAGAGGGCTCAAGGGTTAAGGGGTCTTCTTGCACAATCAGGAGGGCCAGCCAGAGTGCGGATCCCAGAATCCTGCACAGGCTTGTGCCTGTGACCCCTGCTCTGAGGGAGTGAGGTAGAGACAGGGGGCTGCTAGGACTTTTTGATGCCCAGCCTCGGGAGAAATTTAAGCCCCAATACCAGGGGAGACCCCCCCAAAAAAAGAATAGGCGGAGAGAGCTTGAGAAGAACTGTGGTGTCTTCTGGCCTGTATGCATGTGCATGGGTGTGTGCATGCACAGGTGCACACACGCACATACAAAGAAAGGCTAGCACACAAAATAATGCACTTCATTGTGCCATCTCTTTCTTTTTGCCTGGAGCTGAGGACTGAACCCAGGGCCTTGTGCTTGTTAGGCAAGCACTCTACTATTGAGCTAAATCCCTAACCCTATCTCCTCATTTCTCCTCGCCCCACTCACTGCTTCATGGCTTCAGCTCCTAATTACTGATCACTACTGTCATTGAAATAGCTGTCTTTCTGCTTTCATGTCACGTTCAACCCTAGTTCTAATGTTCTCCGCCCCCCCCCCGTGTGTGTGTGTGTGTGTGTGTGTGTGTGTGTGTGTGTGTGTGTGTGTGTGTATGAGGGGGCGCTCATGTGTTGAAGTCAGAGGGTAACCTCGAGTATCTTTTTGCAGCTGCTGTCTACCTCTCCCTTGGGCAGTCTTACTAGCCTGGAACTCATCATGTAGGCTAGGCTGGTTGTCTAGCTATCCTCATTGATCTGCCTGCCTCTGCCTCACCAGATCTAGAATTATAAACACACAGCAACATACTCAGCCTCAAAATTATGGGTTCTAGAAGACCAAAGTCCAGTTCTCAGGTGTGCAAGGCATGCACTTCACTGGCTGACCTATCACGCCAATTCTTGTTCTCCAAGTTGAAATGTGTTGTGATCCCTTATCTTGGTTGAATAACACAATCTCTCTGACAACGAACAATAGCAGAGGTGGACCATGCTCACTAATTAGGGATCTGCTTGGTGACAAACCATGACTTCACCCAAGTCCCAAGATACTTCTTTCCATCCGTCCTTCCCTGCTAGCCTCCGTTCCCATGACTCACCTGTTCATGAGACCATGTCCTTTCCAAACCATCCTTGACACAGATGTCCAGCCTCAGCTCAGTCCCTGTGGCTCCATGCTTGCTGTCCACACATAAGTTTGCTGCCATGTTCCGAATCTGTAGCAGGAAGAGCAGCACATCAAGCATAGGTCTGTGCCATTATCTCCTGACAGTCCTGGTACCGATAAAGGTCCCACTCAGTCTGTCTTTTTGATGACGTGGCTAGAAAGATACCTTGAATTTATATGCGGTTTGTCAAGAAAAAGGAGGACACAAAATAGAATGTAAGTCTAGGTGAAAGAACACAACAGAATCAAAAGACAAAACTGCAGCTGGCTGCAGCCAAGTAAGCCTTGGATTATGTGGCAGGGGGACTGTTGTAGAGCCCTGACCTCTATAATGAGAGCGCTTTCTTGTTCAGGTAAGGCTTAACATGGAGGTTGTTATTCTACTTCAAACATCTCTACCATTACCCTCACAGTGAGGAGAGAATCCCAGGCAGGTGTTACAGGTGAGGGGTATGGTTAAGAAAAGAAAAGGAGGTCATCCAGTGTTGCACAGCTCTGAGCAGGTTTCAGTCACCTCAGGTTCCAGATGGGCTGCAATCGGTTGTTGTCATAGGTCAGCATTTCTCCTGCACGGTAAATTAAATCCTAGAGGATTGGCTATCATGGCTGAAGATTATGTACACATCTTATAGTACAGTTCTTTCCAATTAGTATATTATACTAAACAGTTAGGAGTAAGTAAAGGGAAAGTCATTCAAAAATATCAAGAGCAGAAGAGGAGTCTGGACAGGGACAGGTCTTTTGTAGTTTCCTTTCACCTGGATCATCCACCAATCAATCCTCCACTGGAGTCATCACCATAGCCTGCAGTTGAGTGGGATGTTAGATACTCTGTGTGTGTGTGTGTGTGTGTGTGTGTGTGTGTGATATGTTCTCAATCATTTTCTCTTAGAATGTTAAACATGGAAAAAGAATAGGATGTGCTCAACCTTTGCATTTTCTTCTAGTCTTTGGCCTGGAATGAGTAGATGAGAATGTAGATTACCCAGCCAGGGCCCATTTATACCGGAACCAGAAAACAAAACAGAGCACAGGTTGTGAAAATATTGGGAAAGGATCAAGTGACACTGTGACACCATGCTGGACATAATGAGCGGGAGCTGTTTCAGGTTTCATGGATTCCAGGAGAACAGGTGGGTTGAATGTCCTTCAGGAGAGGACAGAAGCAGCATTTGTTTCCTTATTCGGAGAAGCTGGAAAGAGGTCTAGCAACTGCTTTGGGACATCTGGTAAGGTCTGTCTCCTATGTTGCAGGTATGTGAACTAAAGCAAAATTTGATTTGTTCAACATGGAATCCAGGCACAGCTATGGATCCCTCAACTCCAGTACAAGCTGAGCACCTGCAGGTGGGTATGGACAAGAGCACCTGCAGGTGGGATGGACAAGTGAGCACCTGCAGGTGGGTATGGACAAGAGCACCTGCAGGTGGGATGGACAAGTGAGCACTTGCAGGTGGGATGGACAAGAGCACCTGCAGGTGGGTGTGGACAAGTGAGTAACTGCAGGTGGGATGGACAAGTGAGCACCTGCAGGTGGGATGGACAAGTGGGCACCTGCAGGTGGGATGGACAAGTGGGCACCTGCAGGTGGGATGGACAAGTGAGCACCTGCAGGTGGGTGTGGACAAGAGAGCACCTGCAGGTGGGTGTGGACAAGTGAGCACCTGCAGGTGGGTGTGGACAAGAGAGCACCTGCAGGTGGGTGTGGACAAGTGGGCACCTGCAGGTGAGTGTGGACAAGTGAGCACCTACAGGTGGGATGGACAAGTGAGCACCTACAGGTGGGTGTAGACAAGTGAGCACCTGCAGGTGGGTGTGGACAAGTGAGCACCTGCAGGTTGGATGGACAAGTGGGCACCTGCAGGTGGGATGGACAAGTGGGCAACTGCAGGTGGGTGTGGACAAGTGGGCACCTGCAGGTGGGATGGACAAGTGGGCAACTGCAGGTGGGTGTGGACAAGTGAGCACCTGCAGGTGGGATGGACAAGTGAGCACCTGCAGGTGGGATGGACAAGTGGGCACCTGCAGGTGGGTGTGGACAAGTGATCACCTGCAGGTGGGTGTGGACAAGTGGACACCTGCAGGTGGGTATGGAAAAGAGCACTGTCTTCATTCTCTTGAGATTCATCACTTGAACCTGGAATTAGGGAAATGGTTGCCCACCCTTTGCAAAACAATTGCATTCTCTTTTTGGTAGCAGGGGAGATCCAGGGGTTCACACGACTGAACTTGATTGCATATGGCTGATTGAGCATCACTTAAAGAAAATCTTATCTTCATCTTTCCAAGGACTAAGGGGAAACTTTCTTTTGGGATTTTGAAAGAGGGAGGGACAAGAGAGAAGAAAAGCCATTCATAAATCCACTTTTCACCATGTTTGTGATAATGTGCACACACGAGCTTCCTTAGTAAAATAGGATCACACAGAGTCAGATTTCACTATTGCTGCCATCTTTGTGTATATGGGGGGGGGTGAGGTGGGTGGGTGTCTTGCTCTATATTTCAGACCTCCCTGGAACTTTTGGTACTCTTGCTTCAGCCATCTCTAAGGTGTCTGGTGTGCTATTGCTGTTCCAAGCCTGGTCCAGTTTTATCTCCTCCTCTGAGTCCAGTGTGTTGCCATTCTGCAGCTGCTTGTCACTCAAATAACAGCCTAATGGCACTCTGAGAAAGTCAGTCTTTTTACCCCTGGGCCCTTCAATCCCCTTCAGTCTTGTTAGAGAAGGCTTTTCAATGAGTATGTTGATGTCACTTTCATGGCAAGGCCGCTCTGCCCTCTAAGGCAGCCTAGGAGCTCCAAGCCACTGAAGGAGAGGCTTTCCCACAGGGTTAGCATTAGAGCCTGTCCATCAGCGGGATGCTGCTCTTGGAAAAGGAGAAACGAGATAGCATCTCAAGTTATGGACAGGAGCGGTGGCTCTGCCAACTCAGCTGGTGGAGACGACCAACCCTCGCAGAGAGCTTCTCTTTGTTTCCAAAACTAATGAGCTCAAAAGGTCTCTGGCAGGGACGGAGGGCACCATTTTCTAAACTCTTGAATTTTCTAAATTCTCCCTCAAATGGCAGCTGTGTAGACAACGGAATAAGCTGCTTTGCAAGCCAAATTTCAAGTTTCCGAGGCGTAATTGTCTACATCTGTGTAAATTACAGTACAAAGTTATGCCAGGGAGGAAATGCTGAGAGTTCAGGACAGGACGAGTTAGACAGCTGGGACAAGCCTGATTCCCAGCCATTCTCACTTCCTCTTTTCCCTCTGTCTTTGCATCTCTAGTCTCCTGACGCATGTGTTCAGAACCTTTTATTCTGAAGCACAGCTCCATCAAAGAGAGAGAGAGAGAGAGAGAGAGAGAGAGAGAGAGAGAGAGAGAGAGAGAGAGAGGGAGAGAGAGAGAAAGAAAGAAAAGAAAAGAGGAAGACAGAATTCAAATAGAATAAAAGTTTAAAGGCTATAGTATTAATATTTATAAATGATTTTATTTTGTCTGGGCTCTGCACTGTGGCTGGAAGTAAGGCAGTACACACACACACACACACACACACACACCTCTAATGTAGGACATGAACTATTGCATGAATCTGTGAGAGAGGGCATCACTTTCAGCCTTCATTCCTTAGATGTCCAGCTCCAGGGCTTGATGTTATTAAGTTTCTTCAAGAGATCTGGAAGAAGGCTAAGCAGGATTAGAAAAGGGAAGTGACACTTGACTAGGCAGGAGTAGGAGGAGGGTGAGAAATCAGGGAGAAGGACCTCATGGTGGGTGACAGGAATGCAGAGATATGGTCCTTTTGGGGAAGGGTTAGGAAGGGGCAGAGAGAAAAAGTCTTTTGTTAGGTATACAAGAAGAGTCAGGCTCAAGTTCAACAAACATTTGTTCCCCACCCAGGAAACTTTTAGGGATCTCAGAGGGCACAGCAATTGCCCAGCATGCCCATGTTCCATCCCCAGTACCCCGACTTGCCTTTTGTCACATGTTTCACCGGAGCAGTAGTAACCCTATGTAAGACAGCTAGGTAAATATTTTGCAGAACTACACAGAAAAGACAGGTGTGCAGGGTAGAGGGGTAACTGAGCTGCTTCTGCTCATGAGATGCAAGGGGGTTTCTCTACAACCTTGGTCATACACCCCTTTGTAAAGTTCAGCTTGCCTATTAAAAAACAACATTTCAGTGTACGAAAGAATTTTAAATAAAAAACCTGAAAAAGCACATTCGAGGAGTGCTTTTACATGAAAGAGGCTTTAAGAAATACAGATGAAAATCCAAAGACTAAGAGGAGAAAGCAACACTCATAATGGGGAGTCATCATGGGAGCCTGGACACAACCTGTTTGTCCTGGTTGGTTTTTACTGTCAACGGGAAAAGGGAACCTCCTCATAAGGATTGCATTAACAAGACTGGCCTGAGGCCGTACTTCTGAGAGTCTGATTGGTTGATAACTGATGTGGAAGGACCCAGTCTACTGTGGGAGGCAAGAGGGCTTGGGCTATATTGAAAGCTAGGTTAGCACTACGCAGAGGGCGGGCTAAGAAGCCGCATCCCTCCAGGGTCTCTGGCTTCAGTTCCTGCTCCAGGTTCCTGCCCTGCTTTGAGTTCTAGCTCTGGTTTCTATCAGCAATGGAGTGCTTCCAAATTAATCCTCCCCTCCCCAAGATGTGTCTAGTCAGAATGTTTTATCATTAAAGCAAAGTAGAACAATGTTTGTTGAGGACGGAAGAGGAAATGACCAACTCTGAGGAAGACAGGTTGGAGCTCTTCGTAGAACCCGTGCCATTGGAAAGGGGCTCTAGAGGATGAATAGATTTCAATCAAGAGAGTGAAGTGAGGTGACTGAAGGGGACTATAACCTTAGGGTTTATTTAGTGAAATTTATTGTGTGTGTGTGTGTGTGTTGTGTATGTGTGGTATGTTGTGTGTGTATGGTGTGTTGTGTGTATGTGGTGTGTGTGTGTGTGTGTGTGTGTGTGCTGAAGCTTGAACCCCTGGCCTCATAAAGCTCAGCCTGTACTCTATCACTAAGTTGCAATTCCTAGCTGCCCCCCTCTTTAAATG